TTGAACAATGAAGACGCCTGAATCGCCAGCGACTAACAACAACAACGATATCAATTTGAGCGATGCTTTACATGAGAATTTATCATGTTATTCCGAAGGTGCACGGTGTGTTTATACCGACAGAAATTAGCATTTGGTGTGTTTTCTCTCTTTCTCTCCCTCTCTCTCTTCAAGCTATAGCAAATCTAAATTAATTTCAATTTAACCCGAACAATTGAGGCGACGGCTCAAGTGTCTGACACATTTACATAAAAACTTCATTCATGATGTTGTCGCTTTGCGCGCACACACACACCCATCAAACCTTTGCGATTCGCTTTTACTCTCACGTGCTCTTTTTCTCTGTTTATCTTTATGTCTCTGTCAGTCTCGATGTGTCGACATCATTCTATAGTAGTTTCTTGCCAAGAAATCCATTTTAAAACCACCGGCAACCATTTGACCTGATCTTCAATCGACCAAAATCAACAAAATCCGACCCGAACAAGGAGAGAGAGAAAAAAAGCGACGAGGAAAACTAATTAGCGCAAGCAGGAGGCATAGCAACGAACGTGAGACTAAAATGGCGCAAGAGTCACGTTGAGATGATGGAAAATCGGCATTGATCGAAACCATAGGCAGACAAAAGGTGTATTGTGTTTGGCCGGCCGATTTTTGAGCACAATGATATGGCAAATAGTTTGTAAAGAGCGTTACTTTTTGTGTCTACCGCTTTCAATACACCTCAACACAATACGAGCATCAATCATTGAATTGTTTTTTTTTGGGGGGGGGGGGGGATAACGATTGGTTCATGTAAATTATGATTAATTAAAGTGGTTTTTATTTGCAAAGCCAACTCAGCCCAATTCATTGTATTGTGGACGCATTTAATTGTTTTTGCTGTTATTAGTATACATTGATGCACCCTGGTCGATGTAGTAGGCAGATTCTTTGGTAATTTCCAGTCTGTTTTCATTTTTTCTGCGTTTCATCCACTGAAATTTAGATTCAATTTTCGGAACAGGAATTATCGCGCTTGGAAAATGGATGACTTGAACTCATTGACTTTATTATCGAATATCGGGATTGCGAAACAAAAGCTCGAGGCCGATAATGTATCCGAGCTCAAGCCGGATCAATGGATATGAGCAGGTAAACATCAAATTTAATTGTACACAAAGCTGATGGGGCTTTACATAATACATAGACACGCTTTAATTAATTGTTGTTCCTCTTTTGTCACGAGCTAGCCAAATTCTATTGAAAGTTAAACGACTACATAGTTTTTATTGCATTGGGAACGCAAATCACACTGACTAGATACACATTCGATAAATTCAATTGCACTGATGAAATAAATGCAACTGATGCGCTATCCGGCGGCATTTCAGCAGATGTTCGGTTTTCTTACATTTGTGTCTGTTACTTCATACCTCAAACCGAAAAATTGTTAAACTCATTAGATTTTTGTTGCACCGCGATTTAATTCTAAGAAATACGATGAATGCAGAATTATTTTTTTAGAATGGATACGCAACCGCGATGCGTTTACACAAATATTGTTTCAATGAGTGTGAATTGTCGGAAAAAACATACATGTTTTGCATAATGAAAATATTCGCTATGAGTTCATCCATTTAAGCGTCTCTATAGCTTAAACATTTTAAAATAACCTGGAATGGTTCATCACAACGGATTTTAAATTCATAGCTTGTAAATAATGGTATTAAGTTTATTGGAATTAATACCATCAAGGGTGTTCTTAAAGAGATTGCGGATTTTGTTATTTTCAACAAAACGCACAGAGTTTATATTCCGACCGAATGGATCCTTAGCTATTTTGAATTTAATCGAAGTAATAAAAGTACGAATTAGTATAGTAATTGGATGGACTTTGGTGTACGGAGCGTTTTCCTTTTCTCTCCTCTATTCATTTGTCACAATGTAAAGAAACTCAGGATTATAACAATTAAATGTTTTCGAAAATGAATGTAAACGAAATACCATTTTTCTTATTAGATTAGCGCAGTAAGAAGAATTGATTTAAAAAATTTGGAAATTTTTTGAAAAGAAAATTGAATAAATCTCATTCGATCTTGCCTGAATTTGACTTGCAAAATATTTCTCTCATATTTTCATTCTCAAATTTGAATCTTAAAAAGGATTACATTAACTGGCTGAATTCAGTAAACTGTACATGAAAAAGAAACTGTTCATTCTCTTCAATCTGTTTGTCGTTTCGATACTATGGTCTTAGTTCTTTCACTAACCCTAATTTACTGTGGCAAAAGGCTGTCCAAGCAATGTAATTGACTGATGGACTGCCAGTCTCGTCATAGAGTAGTAATTAAGCACTAGTGGGAAGTATTGCATAAAATTGCTTGCAAATCTCGCAACATAGCGGCGCACATATGAATGAAACTAAGCAAACGAAGTGAAATGTCATAGACAGAGCCAATTTTGTTTTTTTTTCTTCAAAAAAATATATATCGGAACATGTATTATAAATATTTCATTTAATTCCGCTTTTAGAGTGCCTTAAAAGCTTTTGACTTTAGTTATCAACTGTATCGGTCGGCTGTGTTTTAAAAGATTTAATGAAATTTTATTCGATGAAATGTATTGGCAATCACTCGTCAGCGATTACGACGAAAAAAAGAGTAATGTATTTAATAATTAAAAGCTACGCTCAACAAGCAACATCCAAAAAGTCATATAGGCAGCTCAAGTGAACATTATTGAAAAATGCGGTTTGAACATACATGCACGCATGTAGGCACATAAAAAAGCAGCTTAGTGGTCACACATCCAATTTCACTCTCTGACCTTTTGGATAACCAACAAAAAAATACACTTTGATACAATTAAGCATTCATGGGCAAATAAATGGTAGAACAAACGTACAAAAAACGAAAATTTACTGATCAAACATCGCATTTGCCATCAAACCAGTCATAAAATGAACGAAACATTTCCCGCAACCATTTACACCCCAACATTCTCATAGATTAAAAAACCAAGACCGCAGTGCTTCGCTTCGCTCCGTTCTTGAGTTTTAAGTAACGTAATCGAATGATAGAATCGAAATTCACTTTAATTCTGTTCAAGACCCAGAAAATACTGTACGAAATAAGCTTGATAAATGTAATATTTAAAAAAACATTTTATCATAAAAATTTGATTGGCGCTTTGAGATATTGTGCACTTATTTGTCGTTAGTGCCACTGTTTTGAATTAAATAAAAAATATGAGCATAAAATTCAAATTCACCATAATTTGTTTCATCACTCAAAAAGTATTAAGAAAAAAAAGAAAGCAGATTAGTAGCTCTACATTTCATGTAGTGCTAAAAATGAACACAGCCCTAGACCAGATATGACAGCATATTGGAAAACGAAAATAAAATGCAACTCGAAAATTGTATACATGTACATAAAATATAGTAATTAAACAACAATATAACAAGCCGTTTGAAATATAAAATGGCCAGCAAATAACGAGCCAAACGAAATTCCGACACAATAAGGGAGATGAAAAAATAATCAGCCAGTATTTCGAGTTTACTGGAAACATAAGAGCTATGTAAATATTAATTGCGTCTGAATAATCAAATCAAGCGCTCAGGTGATGGATTTTATTTCAATGATGATTTTTATGAAATCAGAGACTAAATTAAAGCTGAGCTGAAATATTGCAACAAAATCAGTACATTGTTATTGCAATGCGAATCGAAATCACTTGCAACAACTTTCATTAGTTCTGAACTGATTCATAACCATGAATAATAATTAATCAGATTGCTGATTTAGCAATCATTTCATAACACGCGAGGGCATTTGTTGTTTTTTTTCAATCAGATTTTTCGAATTAACATAATTCATAAAAGTTCAATGCTAACTAACTGTCATTTGCACATAATTTGAAATGTTTAAAGTGAAAAGAAGAACCAAGCTTTTTATGATTTAGTCATTATGATGCCAATGGAATTTTGTTCAAAATATCTTATGTAATTATTTCATTTCATAAAACGCGCTTCGATTTTGTTTGATATCGAATGACACACTCATCCCAATTAATGCCGGTGTATCCGGATCAATGAACAAGTTGTGGTCAAATGATGTGACCACTCGAAATGTAATCAAATCCTCATCTAGGTATGGCGTTTGTTTTAAAACAAAAATATTGTGATCTGATTTTCACATTTCATGTACAAGCAAATCTGTTTGCCGAAAATTATTGGAACAAAAGGATCAAATCCATTGTGTTTGTTTGCGTACATTGAGAAATCAATTCGAATCGAATATTTGCTTGGGAATTCCATTGGATGTTTTCGAAATTCAAACCGTTGTCAAAAGTAGCAAAAAAGCAAGCTATTCCTGCTTTTTTATTCAAATGTAATAACATTTTTAAAATATTCGCCGCTAAATCAAATATACAGCAAAATGCGATACAAACTTGATTGAATTTGGTGCAAAAGTGAGGCGAAAAAAGCGAAAAGCATGTGCAATCAAAATGATTGTTCGATTGAGCTTTAATGCATGTATATGTGTTGATGTTTCTCTTCTCACAATGTTGATTTGCTCTCGCGCTCTGTAAATTAAACAACAAAGCGCCGGAAATAACAAAGGAACACAATTCAAATACACTTTGAACGTGCCATTGTTTAGTAAATGTAAATTAGTTTGTGTTTCATTGTGTCACAGCTCAAGTTTGACGCATGCATTTTCAAGCTGTTCATTTTCTCTATCTGGCAGCGAGAGGAAATGCTCGGATTTTCTCATTTGTCTTTGGTGTATTTTCCGCGCTGAATGAAGCCAGTGTGAACATTGTGTGATTGTGAATTGTAATAGCTTATATCTAGCTCAATACTAAAAAAAATTCTATTATTCAAAATGAAAAAAAGTGCAAAGCTAATTTTATGTGGGAAAAAAGTAATAATAGCAATAAAAATAGCATCAAATTAATTCATATTTTGTTTGTGTGTGTGTGTGTGTGTGTTTAAAGCTGGTAGCAATTACCTGTTGAACAACGATGGTGGCGCGCGGTGTTTGCGTTGTACATGTGACAGTGGTGGATGTTTCATCCATCGGATTCGATGTTACATTGATTCCGGACGTATTTCCAGCGTTTGCAATGCTAATATTTGTGCTGCTCATGCTGGGCGACATATCCGATGCACTGATTTGTTTCATCGTAATTTCAACATAAGAATGACGTTTTTGTAAATGATCCATTGGTTCGGAGAAAAAATCAACACGCAAATCGGGCACAGGTGATGTGGCCGCCGGTTCATGAGCTTGATATGGGACAGGCGAGATAAAAAAAAAAGAAACAGCACAACACGTTTCAGCAAAAAAAGTTCTTTTGCATTTATCACGTATATCAAGTGTGTCACTTCAAAATGATACTTTGAGAGCGAATTTTTGGCGCATAACCTTTTTGCCGTTTCTACAACGAAAAGGAGTAAAAGTAGCCGAAAAATGCTCGTTCGAAGTGTCACTTCTCTGTTATTGTCATTGGTTTCGTTGACGCGTCAAACGTCTTAATATAAACATACAAAACACGAGGAATGGATGGATTCGAGGTGTTGTTTTTGTTCGGATACTTACGATCGTATGGTGAAACTTTGGAAGGGATTTTATCAAATTTGGATGCGATTTGTTCAAATTGGGAAACTGGATGAGTTCGATCATTGGCACAACTTAGATTGGACGATTGACTGACAATGCTAATTGTCGTCGCATTGTTGTGGGTGGTTGTTGTGATAATGGTGGTATTTTCGGGTGAAGTAGAATTGGTTTTAGCATTTGGCTTAGGTAGGCTAAAGGCATCGGAATCGGATATGTGGTTTTTGAATTGATGATTTTGATCGGTTTTAATGGTTGTGTGGTTGGTGGTGTTGGTAGTGTTGGATGGTGACGGGGGAGGATCATAATTACTCATTTTTAATGATTGCTTCCGTGAAAGTGATGCCAATTCTTTGAGCAGCCGCCCGTCTGACGATACATTTGATGCGGTCGATTTTCTCGGTGCACTACGGAATTGTTCGTAATAATCATAGTCGGGACTGGGCGAATCGTAATATTTATTACCATACGATGATAAATGCCGTTTTGTCCATTCCGGACTATTATTATCGCCCATCGAATCGTATGTCATCGATGCCCGATCGAACGGGAACATGGTGTCATCGCCGTGATGCGGTTTCTTATTTGAACCACCGCTACTGTTGCCACTACTATTGAATGCCGCATAATCCGTGGTATACGATTTAGTTGCTTTATTCGATTTATTACTACCGCCATGACGATTCTTCCACGGTCCGTCCCGTCGTGAATATTTGCTGTAGCTACTGTACGTTTGTTCATCGTAATAGTTTTCGTCCGTCATGTGCATTAAACGTTGCATCGTTGCTGCGGTTGTTGTTGTTAATGTCGATGACGATGTTGATGACGATTCGCATGCATCCTCCTTGTCCAATTTGTCATGACGATAGTAACGATGAGCCTCACCATTGCCATTGCTTATTTTATTATCACTCTTGTAATTCGACGTGCCATGATAGTACACTTTGTTGCCCTCAACAATCACTTTGCTGCAACCATTCTCATAGCCACTTCCATTGATATGGTCGTCATCATAGTCAGTGGTCGTTAAATCGGTGCGCTTTTCAAATGTAAAAAGTGCTTCAGACTTTTCCGTTGTACGAACGCTTCGCGGTGACGTCGGCGCATCGAATGGAAAATGCTTTTTACTTATTAAAGGTGCAGTGTGCGGTGCATTGGATGAATGCTGATATTTTTGCTTTTGTTGCTCATCTTGGTGCTGTCAACGGAACAAATAAAGAAGAAAGAAAAAGACAAACAAACGATAGAAACAGAGATGCAACAAATAAGACGAAAATCATAAGTTAATTGGACTTAAGCTCCGGTATATAACCGGGTGAAGTGGATTTCTTTGTGTAAAAAGTTCGCGTGCAATTGTAATTTATAGCCAACTCATTTGGTGATATTTACGAGACATTTTCTGATGCTTGAGTCCAATAAATGACAAAGCATTTTATGGCTTACAAAAGCATTATTTTTTTTCTCAAGTGAACTTGTTCGTATCAAGCGCGATGGAGCTGAACTAGATTTGCTCAAGATTGGATTTATTTGTTTGAAGAGAGGAAGCCATAGTCTTTTTTTCTACCCAAAATGAAGTAGGACCATTGCAAAATCGGATGTTGATTTGTTTTTTCTCAGAAATGTTCTACTTTTGTTGTTTCTCTACGAAAAATGACACTTTCTTCGCACAGCAACAACAGAAAAGCGAAGCAACATGTAAAACCAAAATAAAAATAGCATTGAAGTAAGTTGAAAAAAGGAAAATTCGATTATTCCCCAGAGATACATTAATCGGTGTGAATTGTGTGTGTGAATCATCGTATAAATGCCATACAAAATGGATAGCACTTGAGATCGCTTGTAAATATGTTGAGCAAAAGCCATCAAACGGTTTAGTTAGTTGGCAAAATATTTTAAAGGAGAGCTGTCATCAATTAAGCTCAACGTGAATCCCCTGAGCGAAGCATGACGCGGCGACAAAGGTCGAATGTTAAAGTCATTTTAGTTCATCAAACAACAGAAAGAGAGACTAAGTGCTGAGTGGCATTCATTCACAGCTCAACACTTTTTTCTTTCTTTCTCTCTCTTTCTTTGGAGCTTGTATGCATTTTTTTCTGTTTTTCATTCTGTTTCGTCGGAATTCGCCTGTTTGGTTTTGTGTTTTTTAGTTACATTTGGTATAATTTGATTTCCAATTGACCTGTTGCCTGATAAATGATAGCAGCGCAGTTACCCTTTCTAAATGAAGCAGCGGACTTGTCGGCATGCTCGTGGATTCAGCATTTCACTTGCTTTGGCGATTTGTGAGTTGCCGAAGCATCATATATGCAGTGCACTCGATATTTAACGTGAAAACCTATATTCGGTACATCGAAGTTGGCCGAGGTATGATTTCGTTTGCGCGTAGCGCGTAAGCAATTCGCTTGCGATATATAGTATATAGGGATTCACGTTATATTGCAAGTGAATTGCTTACGCGCTACGTGCAAACGAAATCATACTTCGGCCAACTTCGATGTACCGAATAAAGGTTTTCACGTTAAATATCGAGTGCACTGCATATATGATGCTTCGGCAACTCACGAATCGCCAAAGCAAGTGAAATGCTAAATCCACGAGTGTGCCGACAAGTCCGCTATTTCATTGAGTTCGCTACATGCTCCGTTTCAAAATGAAATGGGAAAATGTATGAAAAATTGACTGCCATCAAAACTTAAGTGGTTCACAAAAGCACTGGTGTGCGGTGATACCATGAAATGTTCAATTCTTTTGAAATCATTAGTTGTTTTGCCTTCCTCTTTGCCTCTGTATGTTTCGTTTTTATGCTTCGTCGCATTCCGTTTAGCCGTTTTTTAAGTCCAATGCACTGTACGAGAAGAATAAAAAATAAACCGTGCACATCGTAGCGTAATACACTTGTTATTGTCATATTCCATCAAATTCACAATGTTTCAAGGCGAACAAACATTTTTTGGACATGTAAAGCAATTGAAATTGCAATTTAATTTTGTAACTGATGCAAGCGCAAATGTTTTGGAATATATTCTTTTCTGAAATGGTTTTTATGTAGTTAGGCATTGTGCTTTGTTGCAGCACAAATTTCACATGGTCCAATCCATATTTATTGATTCGAATCAATAAAAAAATATGAGCAATTCATTCGAACGGATGCTATCAATTGAATGTCACTTTGATTCTATTGAAGCGATAAAAATTCTTCGACATCTTTCTTTTTCTTCTTCTTCTGTTGCGTTCACACGATATTTTTGCTCGATGAAAAAGCGAGACAGACATAACCATTTGTGGCATAACAACCTTCAAACGAGCTATGAACATTCATTTTTTTCTTGTCATTCGGTTTTTTCTTCTTTCTTTTTTGCATATTTTATAAATGTTTTCAACCGATATTCATTTTATTGAATTTAATATTATATAGACAGAGATGTGGTTCGATCGTTATTCATCAAAATGAACATTCACAAAGCCAAAAATGAATCTGTATTTGGTGCACTCGGTATCAGTCTCATTCTCTCTCTCCCCTCCATTTTCCTCTCAATCATTCTTTGGTCTCGTGTGGCCTGTGTTGCTAACGAATGATT